GATAGATAGATAGATAGATAGATAGATAGATAGATAGATAGTTAGTTAGTTAGTTAGATAGATAAATAGATGTATCACGTAAGCAGATGTTGAAATTCAGCGTTATGCATTATGGCTTAAACAGCTTAAATGAAAATTTTCCTCATTTGTTCAACTGCATTTAGTATTTTGCCCCTATGTCTTGGAACTTGTTGAACTTCAGAGACGCTGTCTGGAATTTCATGTTCTACATTATGGATCATACGGGCCTTCCATTCTTGTTTTTGTAGACACTATGCATGCAACAGCGTGTTTGCCTTTCTCAATAGGACGACTTCTCTCTAAGAGTTTACTTAGGATATTTGATCTTCTACACAATTTGCATCCTCGTCAGAAACGTGAATGAAGAGCGACAAGAAAAGACGCTTTATTGGCTCAGGTAAATTGTAATTTTGTTTCTTACCTGGAGGGTCCATATGTAACTGCTAGGCGTATAATTTCCCGTACCCTTAACTAAGTGTTTCGAATGCAGTTTAAACAACTCGTCTACCCATTTAAAAATTCCTTATTGCTTGTGCCTGTAAATTGTCTGAAGTGTCGGTGAGGATGCGTCATTATGTGCCACTAACGTAGAATGTCCTGTTATCGACATAATATTACTACGCTACAAAGCGGAAGGTCGCGGGTTCGATTCTCGATCTCGTTGGATTTTTACACTGATCTACTCCTTTCAGCTGTACTCAGCCTCTAACAGGAATGAGTACCAGGAATCTTCCTGGGTGGTAAAGGGCGACCGGCGGGTAAGACTGACAACCTCACCGACATCTGTGAGCCGATTGTAAAGTGAGGGAACCTCGACGTCTCACAACCCTATGGACCTCCACGGCCTGTTACAGAGGTAGCTTACTTTCAGTATATGGCGCAAAAACCACATCTCGGATATCTCATTGAACACACAGAAGTTTTCTCCCGTGAAGTTTACATGCTCTGCAGGTTTCCTCAACTGCATTTACCGCTCTTTGTTTCAGTGTACGGGTTTTAGGGAATCTCCAGCAGCAAACTGGTGATTATGTTGAATGCTTTCCATTTTAGAAAGGAAGTAACAATTTGTTGAGTAGAGTTGTAGCTGTTGCACAGGTGTATTTGAATGCTGGAGAGGATGGAAACATTTTCACATTAAGGGGCTTCATACGAGCAGTTTGTACTCTTCGCTAAATGTTAATTGAAGGTTATAGACTATAGGAGCTGGATCAGTTGCGCATAAAAGATCGGATGACGGCACTCTAATAATTAAAGAAATGAAACAGTTAGTAGGTCTCAGTTGAAGACGTCACATCCTTATGTGTGGATCAAAATTCAGCTGATCTTTATTCTCTGTTAAAAGAAATCCCCTTTAATGGGAGCGAAACGTTCATTACCGTGTTCACAAAAGCCCGCGATTTAGCCATATTCAATGGAAGACGAGCAAATGCTCATATTTTAATTGTGTGACCTTGAATAATTCTTCGCAGCATCTATTAATTTTTAAAGTTACGTGAACTGAAGAGGACCTAGCATGGTCCAGTCTGTATAGTTAGGACTGGAGAATCGGGGTTCGATTACCGGCGGGGAAGAGATATTTCTGTTCACCATTGTGTCCAGGCCGGTTCTTGGGCCCACCCAGCCTCCTGTCAAATACATACCGTGGACTTTTTCCTCTGATTGTAAGGCGAGCATGGCGTGAAATTTGTCACATATTTTCTTCCAATGGTGAGGTTAAGATTTCGTGGAGCTGTACCTCCGCCCCCATACATATTTGTGGCTTGTTGATTAATTAAGCACAGAACTATTTTACTTTTTACGTATAAGAATATAAGATTTACATCTGTAAATACGTTACAGGTATGCCTGTGTGTGTTTTTAGGCCTGTTTTAAATCAGTGTTGATTTTAATGACTTTGCGCATTATATTTGCTATATATGGAGCCAGAATAACCCAGTCAGTATAGAGACGGTTTACGGGTTGGAGGCCGGGTTTCGATTTACGACGGGAGAAATATTTTTTCTCTATTCCACAGTGTCCAGAGTGGCTGTGGGGCTCACCTAGTCTCCTATCCAGTGCGGTATCTCTTTTCCTGGGTGTAAAGCGGCCAGAGCATGAAGCTGACGACTCACCTCGTCTACTGCCGAGATCATGAATATTTATAGCTATACCTCCATCTCAAATAGATCTTCACGCCATGGTGTTTAATTTATTAAACATAGGGGCAACTTTACCTTTCTTTCCTTTTATTTTACCTTACTAAATGCCTCTAGGATAGCAGGTCACAGTAGCCGCGCTGTCTAAGGGATGAACTGATTTCGCTCGCTCGGACGCTGGGATGATGGGTTCGAATCCCGCTCAGTGCACGGTTGTTTGGTGTGTTTATGTGTATATTCTGTGTTCGTGTCGTCCTGTGTTTAGGTAGAGGCCTTGCGATAGCTGATCCCCCGTCTAAGGAGTCCTACCTTCTGTGAAAAATGATTACGGAACTGAATTAGAGGTCAGGAACTTCAATGGGCCGGAAGATATATTGGGGGGAAATAAAAGGAAAGAAAGAAAACGAGAATAAAGACCTATAGGATTGTTTGTTTATGATGTGTCTGTAATCATAATTGCATCAAGTTTAAAGATTAACTCTCCAATTTCTTGTATTATATTAAAATTACTATCGGATATGCTCTGAAATGTCTTCTATAATATTACAAAGGAATATGAAGGGTATGCGCTGAAAGTCTTTGTATCACATCCCTTGTGTCTTTATTCCTTCTGTCTTCTTCACGGCCACCATTAATCATAACAGTACGCAGAATTACGCTCTTATGCGTAGTGCATTGTAGTAGAACTTCCCTGTATATTTTCTGCTTTGATACAATAATGTATGCTGAAGAGGTCGGTTTGATGAGTGTGTTTTAAGTGTCTGTTAATCCGGCCTGTCATTGATGTTAAGGGGTTAGCTAAGCAGGCATTCATGGGGAATTCAGAGCACCGTCACGCTTTGGACACGGATATTATATACGCAAAACAAATGAATAGAGACCAAGGCTGCCGTGTGCTCATTACTGCACTCAAGTGTATCAGAACGTTTGCATTTAATTAAATGCACAGCCCTTCTCTGTGTAACAGCACTAACTGTTCGAGAGCTCCCACTTCAACACAATTTGACGGAATGCAACTGTTGGATGCAATTTTAGTGTATGAGAACGATTAGTAGAAATAATGCAACGTTTGGGGTGGCTTAAAGCCATAAGTGTCATTGGTAGATTAACGCTATTTAAATTAACGATCTTAATCTGTGTGTTCACAATTTATGTAGCATCAAAGAGGAAAGAAAATTATGAAGATGGAACTGGGTATTTTTTCATTCTACCCCAAATTAGAGGAAAGTAGAAGTGTATAATGCAATACTCAATTAATTACTTACAAATGCATGGCAAAAGAGAGATGGGAAGACAGATAAAAAGATGGAGAAAGTCATAAATGCGGCCGAGTTAGACTGTACCCAGTTCTTGGTTGCGAAGAAGAAAGGAAATATAAACTTTCGAGTACTTGGAATTCACAGGAGAAAATTGTTAAAGGACTTTTGTTTATGTCAGTTCACTCGGAAATTTAGAATTTTTCACCATTTAGGCACTCGATTATGTCTTCATAAAGGACTGACATGCTTTGCGCCCTAATTACATCATTTTACTCAACTTACTTACTTACTCATGGAGCTGAGCCTTTCTTGAGGAGCCGCAACTTCTGCAGCTACTCTAGAATTTCCCAGCATTTTATGGAAACCGAAGGTTCCTCACCGTGTTCACAAGAGCCCTCCACTGGTCCCTATCCTGAGCCAGATCTGTCCAATCCATACCATCCCATCCTATCTCTCTAAGATCCATTCTAATATTGTCCACCCACCTACGCCTTGGTCTTCCCTGTGGTCTCCTTCCTTCTGGCTTCCCCACCAATATCCTATATGCATTCCTCGTCTCCCCCCATTCGTGCTACATGACCTGCCCACCTCATCCTCCTCGACTTGATCACTCTAATTATACTTG